TGCGCGGGGTGTGTGGAAATGAACCCCGAATTTTGAAACAAACTGACCGCCATAACCACGATGTCGAGAAGACGCGCCGTGGCGATCCACGCGCTGCCGGATTGCCATTGCGCGCGTATCTGATGTTGCTGTTAACGTCTGTTACCGTTCGATCGAGCGGATCGCGGGCGTCGATGTTCGGTTGACACGGCGGAAGGATAGGCGCCTATCGACAACGATCGCGAGATGCTCATGCCTGTGATCGGCAGCGAAGAGAACTCAGAACGCAACGGACCTTGGCGATCTCATGAGAACGTATGGACTAACCGCGATGTCGAAGATACGTTTCGTGGCGATGTGCATCCCACCTCTCGCCCACCTGCACTGATTCTCTCGGTACAACTAAAACTGTCAATCAGACTGCCGTGGTCATCGCCCTCGTCAGCGGCGGTGCGGAGCAGCCTCTGAGCGGGCCTCATGTGCATGTATCGCACACGCCAAATGGGGAGAACAGCACAGCTCGAGGAATTGGAGGAGGTCACAGTGCGCATAGCACGTACATTGGCATGGAGGTCGTATAGGGTATGTGCACCTGGCTACAGGGGGTATATGCGGGCTGATACATTTCTGGTAGGATACATGTAGACATATTGGAGAGGATGCAGGGAGAAATACGAAGAGCGGCGAAATGGTTTGAGTTATGAGAGGGTATAGTGGAGTGGTTGATGTCCAATGTCAATGGCATGCGATGCTCGGGCGCTGTACCAGCATTCTAGGAGCGTCCGCCCTGGAAGCCCATACAGGCGTTGCAGCAGAAGTCATTGTCCCAACGCCGTGGGTTGACTTTGCACCGCTTGCACGGCTTCGAGTCCCGTTGGTGCATACCAGCGCTACAGGACACGACATGTATCAGCCAGGTTTCTACGGCGCATAGTGATGTCATCTACCTCATGTGCTCGACACTACACCACTCGATCAGGCCTCCGAGGCCGGGGTAGTACCCGACGCGCTGTCGGCAGCCCTGAAGTCTGCACTCGTTCGGGTCGTGACGTTCTGTCAGATTGCCATGAGCACCTGAAACGTCTACGAGGTCCGATTCCACTCACCCCGTCCCTTCTTCGTTGAGGACACTATTGTGCTAGGCGGTGCACGCGAAGCCAACTCCGGCGCCGAGCTACTACCCGGCACTGGCTCCCCGTACGCGATGTACGAGCTCATACCCGTAGTGGCGGCGAGGCCGCTTGCGATTGAGTCTGGCAACAGACGGTCAGAAGTTGCCTCCAATGCTTCGGAGCTAGACTCACGAGGACGCGAGTTGGCGGCAGTGCTGCGCGTACTAGGCGTGCGCCCCAGAGTGGGAAGACTTTGCGGTTGGTTCGCGTATGGAGATCCATGTGGCCCATAGTTCGGCGCGTGCTGGGGCGGAGGCGGCGGAGGGCCCTGCATCGGATGCCCCACTTGCTCAGGCCGCCAACCATAGGCGGGTTGGGCCATACCATGAGAAGGGATCTGGTTCGGCATACGCTGAAAGGAGCACTCTCAGTACTCCGGGGCGACAAATGTGATTGATCGGGACTACTGACATATTCATTCCCCCCAGGCAAATTAAAGTGACCAGCGTCAGACGCGCCCAGAGATCTTGGTTGAGATTGCGAAGTAGGGTGGTAGAAGCTTGTGTCGTAGCTCGACCTCAGTGATGGCATTGGTGGTGCAGGCTCAGGCATGAACGTCGCATAAGGACCGGGAGAGGGAAGTGGGTGGCGGGGCACGAAAGTCGGGACGGTAAGACGGTCCATCGGATGCGAGTCGTCCATGATAGTTGCCATTGTCAACGGAGATACCGGAAGCCCGTCGTAACCTGCGGACTGCATGTTATTGTGTGGAGTGAAAGGCGTATTGCAAAGCGGGGCGTTGACTCCGCCCGCACCTCGAGACTATTGGACTTTATAGGCCCAGCTGGACGTCCGTGCGCACCTAACACAGCCGTACATAGTCATTGCCAGTCAGTCGCAGTCAGCCCGACCTGTGCTGGTCGGCACCGCATGGGCAAGGCCGGAGGCGGTGTCATTGGCTCATGACCGGATGGAGCCCGCGCCAGAAGACAGGACCTGAAGTTAAAGTTACGGGCAATATAATACACCATTGAGACCGGCTCGTGATACAAACTAACGACTGACGAAGTCGCGCAAATCCAAGATATGATAGAGATGAGAAACTGTGTGGTGAGCCTGAGCGGAGCTTGTGGTATGGGCAGGCTGCTCCGCCTCCTACTCAACCGCCGCAACGATCGCTGCAACGCTTGTCTTTCCTGCGGCGCGGATTTACGCACCCCTCCGTTCGACACTCCTTTAAACCGAGATGTGTGATTGCCATCCTGATGATCTGGTCTTTAGTCTTCTGCACTCGCACGATTTCCGGTAGACCTACCTCATATGTTCGTCGCTGCACCACTCCATGTTCCCGAGGCGGGGGTGAATCATCGCCTGGCGTTTGCAACCTTCGTACCGGCAGATGTTAGGATCATCTCTCTCTGCCATTTTGAGTGAGTTCACATCGATGTTTGTTCGACAAGGTCATCTATTCACCTCTATGCCAGATAGAAGAAACGGCTTTGCCTGCCGGAGCGCGGTCTCGAAACTCGCTGGGTGGTCCCACTGGCACGGTCGGGGCGTTGGAGAAAGGCACGAATGCACATGAAAGGTTGGCGTCCTGCTCGTAACTTGGTACAGGAATACCCATGAGAAAGGCCTCGCTGCCAGCCCCTGGACACTCAGGTCAATTTCGAATCGGCCGAGCCTACGCAAGAGACGCACGTTGACGTCTGATGGCGTGTGCAGCGTCGTAGAAACGCGTTGAGCCATTGTATGGCATCATGTTTGTCTGTGGAGGGTAGACTCCATGCGGCTCTGGTCGCTGTGAACCGCTCACAACGACAGATGAGTGGCCAGCGTAATGAGGAGGATGGCCGTCGCCTGCAGGAAACTGGTTCGCGGAAGGCTGTCCAAAGAAAGTGAAGTAGGACCCCGCCTACAGCCAAGAACGGTCAGTCAGTCTCTTCTGCCCAATCTGAGGTCTAGCTAACCTCGCCGTGCACGCCTGGAAGTCCGTTGGGAGGGGCCACTGGCACGGTGTACGGGCGATCGGTGTAGGGA